TGTTTCGATAGTGCCGGTGCATTGAAATTTTGTGAATTTTACTTAAATAAGCGTCGCTGTGAATTGAACTAAGGCAACTATTTAGAATTTATACTTACGTATGTGCAATATTTATATTTACATTTGTACATATGTATATGTTATACACATTTTGTTCGGAGTTGAAGTTTTCCTACATATACAACACGATAGTATACGATAGCACTGGCTCATAGGGCACTGTCACACGGTCAGTATTTATGGACGTGATCCACGTATCGCGCTATTTATTGACGGTGTAGCATTCAGTATTGATGGATCGTGATCCATATCGCAAAATTTCTAAAAATTTTTGGATTCTGGATCGCCGATCGCAATACCGTCAATAAATATTGAACGTGTAGCACTTTCAAAACGCGATCCATACATTTCGTCAGTACATCTTTTACTCTCATAATGCGAACGTCTTAAAATCTTTCAAAACAAATTTTAATTAACATTGGAAATTTTAAAATAATTGTGGAATGCATTATCTGTAAATTATACGTAAAAAATAAAAATATTTCCTTGCGTCATAATAAGCTTTCAGCAAAAAAATTTTGCAAATACTGACGCGATAAATATTGAACATGTAGCATTCGTGCGCGATCCATCAATCCATCAATATGGATCGCGATCCAAATATCGTGATAATTACTGACCGTGTGACAGAGCCCATACATGCCATCTAGTTGGTGTTGTACAAGAGAGTTTAGCAATGAAACTATTTTGAAAATATGACGATAATTAGTGATTTTTCTGCCCACTATTCTAAATTCGAAATAATTGATAAATTAGTGAATAGATGGCAGCAAAATATCCAAAAATACATGAATCCAAATTAAAAAATACAACTCGATTTCGTTTATGTTATTTGTAAAAATATATGGCATACATCAAAATAACCAACCGTTCAGCTATAGAAAAACTAAAAATGCAGATTGCTAGTACTTTTTACGCTGATTTTAACTGTATAAATATTATTTACCGCAATTAAAAAGTAAAGTAGATATAGAAGGTAAAACAAAAAAATTTTATATTTTAAAATATTAATATTTTCTAAACTGCGTAACCGATTCGAAAGGTAATGTGTTAAAATAAAGAAAATTAATTTATCTTCAAGCTGATATATAAAATGTGTATGCGTTTTTATATATTTAAGCCAAAAATATTATAAAACAAAAAAATTTCATAATTTTTTCATAAAATAACCTTTTTTTAGAAAAAGTCCATTTTCAATGCTAAAAAAATTTATATTACTTAGAAAGTGCAAGTTTTTACCTTTAAATTTGATATACATATTATATTATGATTTGCTTTCGAGTTTTCAGATTTCAGTGATAATAAAAAATATAAATGCATGTATGTGCAAATACATATTGACGCGTATTCATAGTCCAGCAACTAAGTCGAAACTAACAAAGTTGCAACTTAAATTTAAGTACCAACTTAAAATTTACCTCTATTCATAGTCCAATTTTAGGCTTCTACTAAGTAGTTTGGACTTAGTTTACGATATAGCAAAATGAGTGTGAAAATGTATCGATTTTTCTTAACGATATTTTGGAAAAATTACATTTTTATTAAATAATGTCAGGTTTGATCATCCGTTTATGTAATTTTTATTTTCATTGCATGATTTTGCAAAATAATAAGGTATTATTTTCTTGTTAATTGTGTGAAATAGCCAGAACAACCGCAGTGATTTGAAGTCGATGTTTATCGAAAGCATGCTGTGAAACATACAAATAGTAGATATCTAAATGTTATGCACAAATTTACTTTAAAAGAACTAGCGTGAAACTGACTTATTATTTGAGAATTTATCTAAATTATTTCAATTATAAAATTGTGATGTAGCTTTATTTAGTTGAGTTGAGGTCTGCATTTTTAGTTTTCCCACAGCTGAACGGTTGGTTATCTTGATGTGTTCCAAATATATTGTGGTTTGGTCCATCTGCCTCCATTCCTGGGTTCGTGTTATGAATGCGCCCAATGAAGTAAAATATTCTTTGATGTATGTATCTATGTACATATCGTCGCCTGGGTAAAAGGTTGTCGTATGTTGATTTCGGCAGGTTGTGGGAAATCGCGATTGAAGTTTGGAATGCAATTTCTCAAAAACGCGAAGATAGATATTCTCGAAAGTCTCTGAAAATGTTACTAGTTCACAAAGTTCTTAAGTTATTTAATTTTTAATGTTTAATGTTAATTAGCTTTGAGTTTATGAAGGATTTCCTTTAGTAAAATTTTGTCGTAAGTGTCATTTGTCCACAATTTGGCAGCCACTTTGTATGAAATACGACAAAAATTGGTCAAAATCTCTACTAAATTAACGGCACTTTTTACTCAATATCTCGCAAACTAAAGGAGATATCCAAAATAGAGAACGTCTTTTTTAAGATATTGATTAGTTTAATATGGCTGCATCACTAACTTGCTGTCTCCACAGGCAAAAGTTTTTATCTTGATAATGTTATCAGGCAAAATTTTGCCCATGGAAACCGCATATTGCTCTTGGCAAGCAATAATTATCAGAGCTTTTATCTTGATAAATATTGCCAGCAATTTGGTACTTTGACAGCTACATTTTCATTTGCGCGATAGCTTCGTGGAGACAACATTATCGATATTTCAATATAAAAGCAAAAATTGAACTGCTTTCTATTAAAATATGTGTTATTATTTGCTTGGGTGTGAAATAGCATATTTTTTAAACTTTTTAATTGATGAAATCCGGCAAAAAATGCCATCTTATAAATGCTTTTATCAAGATAAAAAATGCCCACGCACAAATATTGCCGCTGATAAAATTTTTATCAGGCAATAAAAATGACAGTTGGTAGGCAAAAACTTTTGCCTGTGGAGACGGGCCGTAACTAAATTTTTACTAAATTATAGAAAAAATTATAGTCAATATGTCGGAAACTAAAGGAGATATTTTAAAACTGATAACACCAATCGAAAGACCTTATTTCAAAATATATAACTGCATCTAAAAACTAAAAATCGTCAAAATTGCGCTTGCGACAATCTTTTACCCAGGCGACGATATGTATGCGAGCGTTCAATCGATAGTTTCTTTTCTATATGGTCAGTCGATTTTCGGTTGGTTCAAAAGTATCAATACCAAAATTACTTGGTATCGGATGAAAAGCATCGGGTATGCACTTGTATTTACTCGTATCGATTCATACCTAAGTAAAATTCCAATTGTTTTTTGTAGCGTCCCTAGGCGTAGTCTGGTTCAGAGGATATTTTCTGGTTCTGTGGCAAAACCTTTAAAAAAAAATAAATACATATATCATTATTAGGCATGGCGCTCCAAGAGAATGAGATGCAATATAGCGATGATATCGTGAAGATCCTGAGAGACGGCAACGGTGGCGATGCCGAAGTCACAAAGAGCACTATTACTAAAATTTTGTCACGCATAAAGCGTTACCAGGAGCGTATACGCAAACATATCGAAGACAATTATATTGAATTCATGCCAAATCAAACAACTTCCGACGCGTACCTCGATGATGGTGAGCAATTAGTGCGTGAGTCTGAGCACTTGCTGCAGACAATTGGCAGCGAAGCAAATGCCGCACTGCGCCAAGCCAACTCGGAGCTGGGTGCGTGTATAGACGAATTCCGTGAAATGTCGCTGGGTTTACGCGTGTCCTTCAGAATACTCAAGGTTGACGACCTGTTTCAATGTGTAGAGGAGGCAAATTCGAACAAGGAGTACTTGGTGGTGCTGGATCATCTGGGCAAATTAAAAAGCTTAATATACAGTGACGGAGGCACAGATGTAGATCGCGTGTTCCAAAAATGTGAATGCTACAATACAATAAAAGTAAAATATCACATTCAAGCGAATATATTAAAACAGAACTTGCAGCAGCGATTCGAGTTGCTGGTGCAATTCACTGAAAAACCTTTCTCCCATTCGAAATATATAACGCTGCAGGTATCGAAGGATGTTAATCAATTGCAAGATACTGTGATGGCGTTGTTCCAAGCAAGTAGCTAGAGATCAATAGTTTAGTATAAACTTAATTCAGTACCTTATATTATTTTCAGGCGCGTTATAATCCCATTAAGATATGCGATTTTCTGCTAGAAAACTGTTTAGAGCCACTAATTTTGAAGCCAGTTTCATTGGACTACAGCGAAGAAAATCCCGAACATGTGCGATTGACACTTTCATACTCGTTAAAAGAAATGAGTCGAAGCTTACGTCCTTCCTACAAGAAAGTGTTTGAAAATATTAAGCTGCTTTTGAATTGTTTAGCCAACATAAATGTTTCAGTATCCAATGATCAACAAGTATTCTCCATTATCGGCGATCATATAAAACAACGATTTTTGAATTTACTAGTGGAAGAATGCCTGATGCATGCAATACCCAAAAATATGAGCGAATACGATGAGTCAACGCTCGTAGAGGATGTCGTTCAATTTGAACACTTTCTAGCGGATGCGTTTCTCATTAACTCAGAAACCGATAAAGCTCTTAGCGATTTTGCCGAAAAATTTGAAAGCTACTTCCGTGAACAATTCAGCAATAAACTTATAAAAAGCGCGCTAGACATAATGCATAAGGACTTGCAAGATATGGCATTAATTGCTGAAAAGAATTCCGCGGAAGATGTAGCTAAAAATCCTTTTCTCTTTCCTTGCTGTATGGTCTCGAAGAGCACACTGGTGAGTGCATTATTGTTTGTATGTCTCTAAAGTTTTACAACAATATTTGGTATATTTTTTAGGAATTAATTAAGTTGATGGAGCGCATACTTCGCCAATCACATGATACAGAAGATGAAAGTCTGTTAAACGTTATCAGCGTCATATTGATATCGTATGTTGGCGAAGTGCCGAAGATACATGAGAAGCTTCTAGAAAGCATACCACAGCAATCTGCTCTGTTCTATAATAATTGCCAATTTTTAGCACATTGGGTGACCACGAATTCAGAAAAGGGCATACCCACATACCCAGCATTGGTTAAGACCCTACATATGAGTGGAAGCAAATATTTGAATGTACAAATCAATTATCAGCAAAAGATTATCATGGGCATACTCAAAGAATTTGGTAATTTTGTGCATAGATACATGAAACAAGTGCCTATTGTATAACCTTTTATATAAAAAAAATTGTATTCTCTTGCAGATATTTCCGATGCACACACAGTTGGCACTGCGCCGTTGAAATTATTGCGCCAGTGTTTACGTCAATTAGATTTGTTGAAAAATGTTTGGCAGAATGTGCTACCCGATGCAATTTATAACAAGACATTTTGCGATATTATACATGATTTTTGTAATGAAATAATACGACGTATTCTCGCAATGGAGGATATTTCGGCAACAGTGGCAAGTGAGTTGAGTGAGCTAATCAGTGTCATATTGGAGAAGGTGCCAACTTTATTCAAGGTAAATTTCTGATGGGATGCAATGATGCGAATCAAATGCTATTTTTTTTTTTTTGTACTTCCTGCAGCACAAACATGAAGTGATACATATTAAATCTTGGATGAAACTTGAGCAATTGAAAATGATACTGAATGCTTCGTTGCAAGAAATCACCGAGCAGTGGTGTGAAGGTGCCGGTATTTTAACGGCAAACTATAAGGCAGAAGAAATTAAGCATCTCATACGAGCACTTTTCCAAAATACCGATCGGCGCGCCAAGGCATTAACAAAAATTGTCTAAACAAGATACACTGCGTTTTTTCTGGTAGTATAAGATTTTTATTCTAAAATTATAATAATTAGTAAATAATAAGTATGTTTTTCTGAAATATTTCTGAGAAAAGTTTTCGCTGAATCCGCCTTCACTCTGAATTTTTATTCAGGCAGGAAAAGCAAATAGCAAAGCGAATTAATACATATATATATAAATCTATATGTATATATATATAAATTCCCCTTGACGTGTACATTTTGTTTTTGTACTTCTGCTATAAACTTATATATATTCGCCTAGGAAAATATGTAAATTCAGCAGATATTTGAATATTAATAAACGCTTATTATATCATTTAATAATCGGTAAGTTGCGTCTGAAGGCAATTCAACCTGCTGCAGTAGCATGCGTCCCTGCACACTCAGCTAAAGCCAGAATATGTTCTCAAATGGCATGATTGGATATGAAAACCAGATTGTCGGCAAAACATACTTTTCTTCGCTGGCGGGAATTTTATTCGGAGCTCTCGGCAACAGCCTGTGTAAGTAAAGGTGATAATTGCTCACGCAACAGGCTGTGATCTCGACCATGGGTAACTTGGAGAATTTTTTGCGCTTCCTTTAAACTGTTCACGGCCTCTGGTAAGTAGTTTTCGTATAGTTGAATCTTGCCAATTTTTAAATAAAGCAGACCTAGCAACGGATGCCAATCGCCGAGATATTTTCTATGAAAAATTAAAAATGATTAAAAAATATACACATTTAATATTAGGCTAACCTGAAGCCTACAACCAACTCTTTGCCAAACTCCAACGCCTCTCTCCACTTCAACACATCGATGGCAGCTTCAAACGCCGCATCTAAAGTTTTAACATGCCAAATATTTAGTGGATGAACAAAACCTTTTTGTTTGGCGAGGCATAGTTTGCAAACATCGAAATCTGAAAAATCAAATGGAATTAGAAACTATTGATTAATTACATAGCGATGTCTTACAAGCCACATCCTTCATATTTTCCAAGTGCATTTTTGTTATGGCCATAGCCTCATTGTATCCATTCCGTTGCTTCGGACTGACGCCAGTATCACAACGTGGACAGTTATTGAGATTTATATCTAAATACTCATTACAATTTTTATTGCCACAGGCAGCAGCTAGCATTTCGTGTGTTTCCTGCACATCAGTGCATTTCGAACATACGCAGAGAAAAAAATAATTCGCTTGAAGCTCGGCACGCCTTTGTTCAGGTGTATTTAGAAGATCTATATAGCTGATGAAGATCTGAAGTGAGGGAGTGCAATTAGTTTGAACAACATTAATTTTTAAAACGTAGTTGATGAACCTTGGACCAATCCAAGCACTCGATGTCGTCGATTGCATGCACATGTAAGGTAGTACCCTCGAAGGTAGCAACCGCGTTTGGCTTGCAGCTGTGATCTGTTACTGAAACGCCAAGATAAATAGCTGTGGCAATGGAATTCATTTCAGGGTCGAGTATGCTGAAGCCATTAGTGATTAACTAAAATTAAAAAATACTAATAAATTCAAAATTTGTGGAAGTGGCAAATTATATTTTTATGTTTATTTTGCCGCTTCTTTACAGATTTATTTGCGTGAGATATTGCACTGGGTTCAAAAAATTACGTTACGTTCACTACAAGCAAAACCTTGGCGCCAACATACAAATACTATAGGGGAGGAGATCTGAAGTGAAACTGAAAGCACAGCTGAGGCATCGTAAAATGCTACCGGCACACCTATTTTTTAATTTATTTATTTTTTTCTTAGCGAGTGCATGACTTTAATCATTTTCCGAATTTTTTGGCCACTAGCCAGAAATTTTAAACTTTGTTTTGGATTTCACACATGTATATACATAGGAACATACATATGCATGTACATACATACATACGTACTGAGATGCAGTATTTTTGACTCGCTAATGAGCGACCAGCATGAATTGAGAGATGTTGAGGATCATCGTATTTTAATAATTTTTTCTTTTTTTCTAATGATAGAAAATTAAATTATAATTATATTTGTATCCTATTCAATACTTACCCTCCCATAGATACTTGTTAATTCCGTTAGATTAGGCACTATAGCACTTTCTCCCATCATATCTCGCAACACGCCATGCAAAGATTCTAAATGCTCCAAACGTCGTGCGTCATTTTTTATCTCACCATAATCTGTTTATCAAAAAGCTTAAATTTGTTATCATAAATAGTTAATCAATGTAATCTTACGGGACATCATGTCACGAAATCGACGTGAACAAGTTTCAGTGTAGTACCCACGCACTAGATCCCCTCCCTTGTCCAAGTGTATTATCAATTTACAAAGCATGCGTGCTGCATCGGGCACAATACGCGGATAAATGCGCTTTAGGAATGGACATTCGATTTTATGCAGCCTCCAGCATTGCATTTGGCAGTCACGACCGCAATAATACACGTACTGGCAGTTGGCACATTTCAATACCTTGCAGCTGAAAATAAAACATATTAATGTGACTGCGTTTTTTCCGAAATTGCACGCCATCATTTACGCTTGCAGGCAATTATCGCAGCGCTCTTTACGGTATTTGGCTTGCAGCACAAAGACAAATGGTTGTTCCGTAAGTATGCGATCGCCTCGTTGAATTGCTGTGCCATTACGTACTGCTGACTTCATTCTTCTGTTCGCCTGGCTATTGCTCTTTTTAGTTGCAGATGCCGGCGGCAGCGTTGTGCTGCCAAAAGCGGCTAAGAGCTTATGAAAGTCTTGTATGCGTAGAAAAGTTGGCATTGATCTTCACGTTCTCACCAGTCCACGAGTCCTCGAACAACTAAAGCAGGTAATTTCGAAGCAAAACATTTAATTGACTTATATTTCGAAAAAAAAGAAATACTAGATGTGCTCACCTGACATTTCGAGGGACTCGATGCTATTACCAGTTCGATCCAAAAGCTGCACTATGAAAATGAAATAGTTTACCAGTATAAGCGCTGCTCAACCTTGATTTACTCAGATTTTTGATAGCACTCTGATGGAGTGTTCATTTCATTTCATTTATTAATAAATAAAATCATTAGCACAATAAGATCAAAAGAATGATCTTTTATAGCGCAACAAAAAATTCATAACAGCACATACATATAACTAAAACAGTGGACAATGATTTAAAGACTGTTTTTGTGGGCCCGTCCGCATTAATATACCCTCTTCTGACGCACTGGCATATGCTATTTTTAAATTATTTTTCTTCTAGGACTGAAATGAGAATATAAAATAAATAAAACGCGGCGTTATGAACTATTTTTAACACCTGAACATCTGATAACGGGGTCAGGTAAGGAAGGGGAGTTTATTTACGTTTAGCACAGGGTGAATAATTTAGCTCAGAAATGTAAATTGTCAAAAAGCATAAACAGACGGCAGCGTTGATCCGGATCAACTGGGGAATTAAGTGCAGTTGATCCGGATTAAGTCCGAGTTAGTCATGATCAACGCTGCCGTCTGTTTAAGCTTAAACACGATGTAGATAACAAAAGTGATGTATTCCGCGAACCGCCGATTTTGGCCATTTGGCGATTTGTAAAAGAAAACCATGAACCAACGACTACAGATCACGTAATCCGCCATCGTTGTATTTGTAATCGATTTTCAGAAAAAAGTTTTCGTAGCGTTTTTGATGTTTTTTGGTTCGGTTGGCATCGTCTTAACGTGTTGCTGTGTTGAATTAAATATTCTTTAACCCCCTTGCTTGCATGCGTATCGTAGAAATTAGTTTTCGTATTATTCTTTTCATATTCCCGACAGATGTATATTATTTTTAATGTCTGTGGTTTTTGTTCTCTTTTTATCGTTAACCAACACAAATCAGTTACTATCGGATTTGCTACGACGAACATCGGTTCGTAATAGGGATAACAGAATGCAAGCGTTTATCGTGCATCGTATACGAATTAATAATAGGGAGGTTAGTTAAAGAAAAGTGGAATCATGAACGAAAGACACAAGATCACGTAAGAACAAGAGAGTGAAAAAAGTCGATTTATATTTCGGACTTCTATGCACGCCAACATGCATGCCTATGCGGACGATGTCCAGCTCTACATGTCAGGTCCTCTGGAGGACTTAGCTAATTTGTGCGCAAGCTTCAACAGGGAACTGATGTCTATAAGGTCCTGGGCACAGTTAAATGGTCTTTGTCTTAATTGTGACAAGTGTTTTGTTTTACCTATTTGTAAGAAACGTCTCAACCTAGCAACTATTCCATCGTTACACATTGGTGGCAAACCAATTAAATTTGTGTCAAAAGTAACTAACCTTGGGTTTATTATCAACACTGGCCTTACCTGCATTGACCATGTGAATTCAACTGTAGGCAAAGTCTATAATACTTTAAGGAATTTACGAATGTCTGCTCCATTTACACCGATAGAAATCAGACGTAAACTCGCAATCCAACTTATAATGCCAATTATCTGTTATTCTGAGGTAGTCTACAGCAGGTTAGATTCCCAATCAGCTCACAAAATAGATGTAGTATTTAACCAGATCACGCGCTATGTGTTTGGGCTAGCAAGATATGAACATATTTCCGCTTGGAGAACGCGCCTACTTGGCTGCGAAATTTCTGAATATCTTAAAGCTAGAAATTGTGTATTCCTTTTTCGTCTCATGACAGATAAGGCACCCAAATATCTATATGAAAAATTAATGTTCCCCAAATCCACTCGAGTAAAGGACTTGACTGTTCCTACCTACAATTATCTCAGCTCTGCACGGCTATTCTTTGTCAATGCTATCCGCATCTGGAACTCTATTCCATCCCATATTCGCAGTAGTTTAAACAAAAGCAACTCTAAAAATGTTCTGTATGCATATTTCCGTTAGCTTCACTTCAGTCCCTGTGATGTGCTCTCTATGTACTTGTTTAATTAAGTCTTATTTTAAGTAAATGTCCTGGAATTGTAGAACTCACTTAAAAATACTACTCTGTTAATTATATTATGTTACTTTTATTTAGTCTTAAGTAATTTTTGCTGTTTTAGTTATATGTATGTGCTGTTATGAATTTTTTGTTGCGCTATAAAAGATCATTCTTTTGATCTTATTGTGCTAATGATTTTATAAATAAATGAAATGAAATGAAAAATTTTTTTAGCGGGTTCTACGCCATCTTGTTTCACTGGAAAACGAGCGAAAAGTAAACAAAGCTAAGAAAACAACGAAAACCAAAATTAGCCAAAATTATTGTCAGCCACTTTAAACGCACAATTTAGGTAAAATGATGCCACAAAATGCTTTAAAAGTGTTGTCATGTTGAATTAACTCTTCTTTACTTGAATAAAAGTGTAAAATAGTGGTGCTTGTGATGTAAACAAACGCTCAGCTGACGAACCCGCTTTCGCAAACTTTTTTCTCAGAACCAGTTACAAATACAACGTCGCGTTCTTGCGTGATCTTGTATTTTTGATTCATGAGAAAAGAACTTAAATCTACAGATTTTTTAAGTTGAAATTAATCAAGAACGTAAACCTACCGGTACGTAAACCCGAGTCAGCTGACACGATCTGTCTTACCAGAGTGCCATGTAAATGAAAACTCAACACCGCAGAATTTTTCTGTAGTTGTAGCCCGTAGCGAAGCAGTTAGATATTTCCGTGTCAGCTGATTTCTTCCTTCTATAGATGGTTGTCACTTCGTCAGTTTTGCAGATGGTAAAAAGTTATAATTTCCTGTTCAAATTACGTTTGAAATCTTTGAAATTTACTATTAAATAAGGTTTTTTTTGTTGAAAAGTAAGTAGTTTATACTTAGCTACGATCTATTATAGCACGAAAAATTTAGTTGAAAAGGTAAGTTTATGAAAAGCCATTGATGAATGGCAACACTGTATTAAGCAACACTGAGGACCCCAGTAATCGACAAAATTCTCCATATACAGACTGCGTTTAAGTATGCGTTCTGCGTTCTTGACTAATTTCACCTTTATCCAGTACCAAAGAACGAAAACCTATAAGACTGTGTTTATACACGGAAATTTTGTCCACGCGATTTTTCACATTCCCTTTTGGACTTGCTCTTTTCATTTACACACGGCAAGAATCACCTTAAAATACAACAAACAAATCATTTTGACATTCAGAAGGACAGCAATGATTTTTACTAACACCACCTCATAATTCGCCTTGTCTGCAAGTTTTCCATGATTCAATAATACATTATTGAATAATGCAAGTTTTCAATAACAGATATCCACTTGCACTACAGCAAAAATTTTGGTGCCAAGTCCAAGCCACTACGTGTCTACCTACCCTTAAGTAAAATACATATCTGTTTTGTCACTCGTTGGATTTCATTTGTGGTGAGAATTTCCATGTCTGGTAGAGCTGGGATACTATCGATAGTACCGCCACTCGATAGTTTTCGAAACGATAGTTGAAAACATCGATAGTATCGATAGTACTATCGTCGTGAAAGGCATTGAATAGCGACGGGCAAAATCTGAATATAGTTTTATATGAAAAAATTAAATTCGGATTTTGTTTGTTCCTTATGAAGTGCAAAGAGTGAAATTGGCTATAATAATACATTTCTAATACTACAAAACAAACAAAACACAAAAGATATTCGTTTAAATTGACTACTCATACTTATAAAAGTTCAACTGAGATCATATACGGAGGCGCATATAAAAATCCGAACAAGGGAAATTATGTATTAATATTTTACCAGGTTATAAGACAACGAATATAGTACTGGTCAAAATAATAGCACCACAACAGTTTTAGCAGTTTTGACTATTTTTTGTTTACTTATTGTCTACAAATTTTTTATAAAAGTTGTACAAAACATAGAAAAAAATACAAAATCATTAAAATTTCAAGCTTTTTAATTAGAATTTCGACAAAAATTTTGTGTAAGCAGTTTTAAAGCTTATAAAATTTTACAATAACTCAGTAAGCTTATAGTTGCTAAAAATTTCAATGACCAAAATTTTTTTTGCATAAACAAAATTAGGACATTAATGAAGAGACATTGTGAAGTTTCGCTAAAACCGACATCGATAGTTTTCAAAAACTATTGATAGTGGCGGCAGTTTTCAACTATCGATAGTATCCCAGCTCTAATGTCTGGTTCTGCGGTGTAATCGTGCACGGCATTTCGTTGTCCTGCAGTGTTCTTATTTTACATATTTAATATTTTGTGCAGGAGATCTTCCAAATTTAAGTCAAAATTTCCTTTGGAATTGTGCAATAATATGTACAGATGTAATTAAAATAGTTCGCCAGGCGGTATTTCAATTGGATATATGTATTTTAATATTACGAGGACCGCGTGTACTCAATCATTTGTGGCAGCAGTATTTTGAGATAAAAGAAGAATATCGGGAAATCAAGCTAGTACTTTTGCAGTGTAATCGAAAAAAACGTGTTCAGACATGAATGATTCGCAGCAGGCCTCATGCTCACGAAAGCCAGCTTCCACAAATTTAAGCGAATACAACATTGCCTCGAATCCACCAATGCTCAACCCTGAAGAGGCAGAGGAAGATCGCAAGCATATGCAGAAGATCATAGCAGCTTTGCGCTATTATCAGTGAGTAAATGTACCAGCTGTTACAAATGTAGCTGATAATTTTCTTTGATAATGCTGCTGGAGGTTTGTGTGCCAATTATAATTGGGATGCCTTTTCTATTTTTGAGGTTAGACGCATGTGTAAAATTGCTTTACGCTTATCGCAGAGAACAGTAGTGACGATAGAGTCCATTGGTTCCTTGACCCGTTTCCACTAATGGATTTAATGAATTTACTTCAGTAGTGCCACTCATAAAAGTACAGCTTTTTGTTGTTGTTAAAACCATGTGTAATGAGTGATAAGAGCTTGACGCTGAAGGCGACGCTTATATATATGTTCATGCTCACGTAGGTTAGGGGAACAACGCAGCTGTTACGATGTTGCTATGAAATATACACCCGCTGTTAAGGCGCTGATGTTAGTAAGGCTTTGTTAGTTAGGGGGTGTGTGGGAAGAATGTGTGTACAATCATTAACCTTGTGAATATCAATTGACGCGTTTTTATTTAGCTGCTGTTTACTAGGCAACTACTCTTGTACAACGGTTAAATGTACTTTTCGTTTAAAAGTAGGGGCGCGTTGCTAGGAACGTATTTTACCATGAAACCCACATTAGAAATATGTTTCGAGTGTAAATATTTACTATATGTTTATTGTTTTTTTTTTTTTTAGAAAATACTGCTATGCGCGCGTAAATAAGACTGAAAGCTACCTCAACAGTCTTCCTAAACGTCATCAGGACATGTTGGCCAAGTATCGCAATCATTTGCGTGTTATAAGAGACTGTATCGATGAGAATCAGAAGGTTATCAGGAAAATGTTGCGCGACAATGTCGATTTTATTGATATGGACGGTTCCGAACAGATGTACGTTGCTCAGCATGACATCGATGGGCATGCGACCAAAATTAGGCGTCAAGATATGGAACATGTAAGGAGTTTTATAAAGCTGACAGTGTTGTTGTTGTAGCTACTAAAGCTGATCATTTGTTTTACATGATTTAATAACATCTTTGCATTAATTGGCTAGTTAATACCTCTATTAACGATTACTTGTAATATTATATTGATTTTGTATGCAAACTTATCTACTGACCAATTAAAACACTAACTGCAATTTTATAATTGCAAATAGTAGAAAAATATACATCAAATACTTACTTGCCACAGGCAACAGAGCAAGCTGATGTTGAACCTTTTAAAATTTTAAAGGCCCAATCGACATTAAAGTTAATTGCGCGCGATTGGAGTGCATCCTGCGCCGAGGAGCGTGAACAATCGTACAAACCGATCATCGATGCTATCGAGGAGTTTTTTAAGCCTAGCGAATTGTAAGTTTATATTTTGGAGTTAGTTTATATACAGATTTTGATTATCCATTCTTGTCATTTCAGTGAACTTAATGAAGTGAAAATTCTTGTACCTGGTGCTGGGCTTGGACGTCTAACCTATGAACTAGCCTACCGTGGCTATGAATGTGAAGGCAATGAAGTTTCCTATTTTATGCTAATAGCCTCATATTTTGTCTTAAATCTGTAAGTATTAATGAAATTTATTTTGATTAATGTTTTAATAGATTTTATTTCCTGTAAACTTATAGCTGCACTGAGGAAAATAAGTACACGCTATATCCCTGGGTGCATCAGTTCGTAAATAATTTACGTATGGCAGATCAAGTGATGCCCATTCGGTTTCCTGACATTTGCCCAGCGAAAAATCCACCTAAGGGCAACTTAATGATGGCAGCAGGCGACTTTTTGGAGGTACATACAGAAATGTTAGCGCAATAATTTAAAGTGAAGCGTGACAACGAAATTGATACTGGTGGTCATCGTAGTCCGATTTTTCGTGATATCTACGAAAGTGGGTTGAATTGAATCCGAATTGCTACGAACGTGTGTATACAAAGTATACGCTACGTTCGTAGCTATTCGAATTCAATGATAGCATTTTCGTAGATTTCACGAATAATCGGACTACGAAGGATTCTGTGATAACTCTGATTAACTATAAATACTTAGTTTAGGAAACGCAAACACCCAAAATCCCATATTTTTTTATAGCCAGCGAGTTTAAACTGAAAAATATGCGTTATTTATAGAGATATTACAGATCAGAATTTGTTCTAAAAGAGGGAGCGTAAAAGTTAAATACTTGCCAATTGTAGTTGTAGTTGTTGTAGCAGCATACAAGCTCCCCAAAGGGTTTTTGGGGAGCGTTGCTGGAGTGACAGTCCTTGGCCAAATATAAATCTGGGTCGTTCCGGTTACGTAGACCCGACTGTCGTGGGAACGTGCCAATTGTAGTTGTATGAGTCGCTTAAAATTAGTTTTTTCTCATCCATTCATCAATCAAAACAACAAGCACATCCACGCGCACTTATATCCAATAGTGTTTATTTACTTGTTCGCACACCTTAGACGGGCTTTCGATTGTTCATAAAACTTTGATACTTTGTACATACGTACATATGTATGTATGTATGTGCTTATATTATCGCATTTAAATTTTTGTTTTTTGTAGGTCTACAAAACGCCTAACAGCTATGATTGTGTCGCCACTTGCTTCTTTATCGACTGCGCTAATAATATTGTGGACTTTATTGAAACTATTTTTAGGTAAGTATATATTTAACGAAATTGTCCCTGTCATGTGGGCAAGTGATTTAAATTACGCACGCTTATAATAAATATATAAACACGAGTGTGTACGACTTATATGAAACTTATTTTGTAATAATTTATTATGTTTGTATAATTTTAACGCTTGCAACTAGGGCAATTTTTAATGTTGAAAATTTAACTCAAAATACAAAATCAAATTGTAATTTCAAAACTATACGTTTTTTTTTTTTGTTTTCAGAATATTGAAACCAGGCGGCATTTGGGTGAATTTGGGCCCACTACTTTATCATTTCAGCGATATACAGGGCGAGAATAGCATCGAACCTACTTTTGAAAATTTGGAGGTAATCATCAAAATGGTTGGCTTTGAATTTCTTCGTAGCCAAACAGGCGTACGCACTAAATATGCACAAAACCCACAATCCATGCTTAAAAGTGAATACGAAAGCTTATTTTGGATTTGCCGCAAGCCAGAAAATGCAGTTGACCGCATTGACGATTCATCGCATTGCGATGATGAATCTGATGAGCTCATTGATGGCGGCGTTGGCAGTAGCAACAACAGTAGTCGCTATGAAGATAACTACAGCAATGGCTATAGAAACGCATACCAACATCAATAGTATTGACGGCAGTTCAAACAGCTGCTAGGCGTCAGCGGTGACAGTCAAGGGACGACAAAAGGCGCAAGGTATTATCACAGAATAAACAGTATACAGAAGACGCACCACATACAAATTTATTTTTCTTCGGCGGACGTAATATTACAATCCGGACCAGAGCAGAGAAGTTAACATCACATCCACTGTGAATAACATGAAGTTAAATCTCGCCACAAACACACATCGTGATCAGCGTTGCCGGAAGCTTGAAAAAAAATGTATTAGTTGTTTATTCTGTGGTATTATCTTGCCTAACACTTAGTTATTAGTCATTTTGCAATCCTATTTTTTTGTTTTTTGACACAAACAACAAATTTTTCCACATCCCCGTAAGCGTACGCAAATCAGAATGACTATGTGTTCATAAAAAACACAACTCGCTTGATGACAACAAAGTTGTACGTATAATACGGGGCCTGTTCGAGGCACGTAATAAAAGCGGCAATACTGCAGCACTGATGAAAATTTGCAATACTGTTGCAACTTCCCAACTGATAAAACGTTGCTAGAAATTCACACCGATCGTGATACTTTAATAATTCGCGCAACATTGCGTTTGTGATTGCCTCTCGAACAAGCCCATGCTCTCTTTTATGATCGAGTAGTATAAATATTGAATATTAGGCATATGAAATTGAATTCTTTAACATGGAATATGTTTTTAAGTTTAATTAAAGCATTATGCAAAAGCATAAAACACGATACTATAGTAGAGTATGTTTGTAATTTTAAGCAAAGTATTACCGGAACCAGAACTATGATTTCAAAATCTACAAAGTTGCAAAAATAGTTGGTAGAACACACTTCACGAAATGAATGAAATAAAAATTTTACCTGTATTGAAATTAGTGGCAAACAATTTTTTAATTTGGTTGATTTTTCCCTCACAGTGCTATGCATATGATAAAGTTAACTGGATGCAGCTTTTTATTATTTTCTATTTGTCTTGCATCCATCTACGATAGAAATACAATAGGAAATATAATATGAAATAATGCAATTGTATTAAGACACTTTTATAAACAAAATAAGAAAAATATAATAAGAGCAAATGGAATTTCAGTTAAAAACATTACAACTTACTACAAGTATTACATTTTTTTCACGATTTTTGTTAGCGGTGTTGAAATTGCAAATTATACTATTTAAAATTTCATTTCACAAAAGCTAAGCTATTCATTACAATTTGAATTTAAAAATTGTACAAACAATTGCGGCACTTTATCCAATGTGCTAGTAGTCGCATGATGCAATTTACTATAATTTAGAAATTGTCTTCGTAGCCGATTCATTTGAATAGCATTTACGGCCGCCGGAACTTCTACTTTCACCTGACTACCTTTCACCGGCACTGGACCGGTGTTACCAATTTTTCGTGCAGCCAAGACGTCGGCTATAATTTGTTGCGTTAACTTATCCAGCTCGAATAGATAATTTGTAGCGCTTAGTGGTGGCTAAAAAAATCATAGAAATAAACAAACTAAGTATATGCTTTTTTAATTTTTTTCTTTGCTTACATTTTGTGTGCTTTGATTTGGTGGCAGGGGTTTCGACTCGTACAGCGCGCCATAGATAGTCTCTAAATTAAGCGCATCATCGGGAAACACCACAAACAATGGACTATCCCAACGGCAGTTGCCATGCGGTTCTTCGTAACGCATACACAAAGCATCGAATATTTCCCGTGTATATGGCACGTTCGAATTGTCCACTCGATCATCCAACACATCTGCACCAGTGCGCTGTTGGTTAAACTCCCATGCTCGCGCTTCCTGTATGCCACAGAAAAGTGTACACTGCGTACTTCGTGCCGCTTTGGTGGCGCAAAACAACTCGTAGCGATAGCCTTAAATTTGCGAAAGTAATTATTACGCCCTTTGTAGTAGAATTAAATTGTACCTTTAATATAATTGCCAGCGTCCACGATGACCACATCTTCTTTATTAAGCAACCGCAGTGCCTCCGATTTAATATCGCTACGCACTTGTTTTTCTTTTTGAGAATCCGCAAAGTATTCGTTTTTCGGAAAACCGGCATTTGCTATAGAAACATTCTCCGAGATGAGATTTACCTTCTTCCCTTTGTCAGTAAAGTATTCCAAGAGCTGTTTGGCGCGGGTAGTTTTGCCGCTGGCAGGGAAGCCGGAGATTACTATCATTGGCATTTTTTACAATTATTAAACAATAAAAATTATTATGCGCTATTCATTTGCAAAAAATAAATAAATCCCCTACTGATCCAATGGTCAAAAAAGCTGGTGCCTGGTGCTGTGGTGAATTCGCGTTTGTTTACATCCCATTTTGACACTCGAACAGCTGATAGGAGAGAGTGGGTCAAAGAAATATTAAGTAATTGGGGTTCAAGACCGCTTCCGGGTAGAGCTGTCAATCGATATATATCGATAGTATCGACCCAATTCATATGTTTTTCTAAATCCATTTATTTTTCATTATCTTGGTTTTATAAATTTGTTTATTTTAGCGGCTCACGGTTGCATTTTAGTATCGAGAAATATTGCCAGAAATTCATTCGCCGTGTAAACAGTCAAAAAGCGATTTCAGAAATTATCCCTTCAATTCGCCTTTGGGAATAAAAAAAAAACGTCTTTCGAAAGTCACTTTACATTCAAGGTGCCACTGCTTATGCAACTGCTTTCTGAAATTGCTCAATTTGACAGTATTTGGAAATATACTGCATTGCTATTTCCATGCTTAAAAAAAATGGCGCTTTAAGAAATAATGCCATGAACCAACTAAACAGATCACCCAGCACGGCAACCGTGTATTTGTTATTGCATTTAAGAAAAAATTAATAATAATTGATAACGGCATTTTTAATCGGTTGCTTCATGCACACACATGGTTTCATTCCGTTTCATTCACATGAGGGCACTGGAAAAAAAAAAATGATTTTTTCTCGCACACCGTCCTGGGTGATCTTTATTCGTTCGTTCATGAAATAATCCTGCCAAGTATTTTCACTTTGAACCAATACGTGAAAATGTCAAAAGCGCTAGGAAAGAGAATAAGTGTCAATGAAACGATAGTGGCGATAGTGCTAAAACTATCGATAGTTATTTCAAGTGATCAGACTATCGATAGTATCGTCGATAGTTTGACAGCTCTACTTCCGGGATTAATTTAGAGATTAGTTTATTTTTATTTAGGTATATTTCACTAGAACTACCCCTACAGAAAACGTCACAGACCCCACGAACAAATCTTTTTCGTACGCCTCTGAACATACAATTGTTTTTTGTTTATTTGTGAACTGGGATTGCACTGTTGCCGTGAAATATTGGCCAAAATTAAAGTGTGCGTTCACTGGCTTTTGGATAATCTGTCAACCAACTGAAATCCCCAAATGGTGCATTGATTGACCCTTTGACATGTCGGACAATAAGCGCCGACGGTTCCGAAAACCCAAGGTATGTACGTTTCCAAAATTAAAATGAAATTATTAAAAGTATTTTTTTTTTAATTTCCGTCGCCAGCAACCAGATGACAAGCGCCCTATAATTCTAGCAAAACGCAATGTTGAAGAGGATTCTTCTGCTCGACGTAATGTGGATGTCGACGTGCAGCCCAAAATATTACTCAAGCCACGCGTTGACAATAAAGACGATACAGAAGTAGCCGAAGCATCTGCAAGTGCTGCACCACTGAAGACCATAATTGTTACTCGTAGCGAAGTGGCACACAGCCCAGGGTTAAGTGGTGTCAGCCCAGTTACTACGAAAGAGCAACTACAACAGCACACCCCTCAAACCAATGCTAATGCGAATGATACAAATACTACAACAGGGCAGATACTCGAGCCATTACCGCAAATGACACGTCCTGCCACTGTTATATCTTCGACCGGTGTAATAAACGCAAGTACGCGCAAGTTGCTTGTGAAAGGAAATACCGATTTTCTGGTAGTAGGTGTGATTGGCACACAGGGAGTTGGTAAATCAACAGTTCTTAATTTGCTAGCTAGTGATGATGTAAATTATGATTATTACACGAAGCTTTTCTCTGAGGAAGATGGCTTCTTTCCAACCAAATTAAAGCCCCACAAATGTTCGGCTCGTTCGCGAACCGAGTCTACACATATGTACATCACTTCTGATCGGCTGATATTGCTTGATAGTCCGCCGGTGATGTGCAACTCCTATCGTAAAGACATGACCACCAACGAGCTGGATGATCTGAGACAAATTATAAGTTTCCTAACCATCTGCCATTTATTGATTGTTGTACAGGATGACTACTTTAATATGAACTTTGTACGTTTACTGCAATTTGCCGAGCTTATGAAGCCAACACATGACAATAAGCCTTTCGTTAGTGACTACTTTCCCAATGTGCTGTTCGTAAAGAATCGCGCTAAGCGGCAGGATTTCGTGCCAAGCCAAAAAGAGCGCATGAATCGTATGCTGCGTGCGCTTTTTAAGGATTCCCAGCTGCGTATATATGTAGGACAAACTGCCGAGCAGCAAAAACAAAAGAAAACGCGCACATCAGAAGCTGAGCGGCAAGTAAATACTTTCTTGCTGCCGGAAGTTGATGGTACAAATTTAATAAAATTATTCAATTTAAATATTACTGCATCATTTACCTATTTATTTGCAGGAAATCATGATATTTCCACTTTTCACAAACCGTTGCGAGAACTCATTGAAGATTTTCGTTCGCTTGTGTTCATGACACCCCGCAATGAAATGTACACAGGCGCAAGCGAATTAACGGAAGCAATTTGGTTTGAGTTGCTGACGAAAGTTGCACAAGAAACCCAACAGTTCTTTAACACTTACGAGGAGATACAGCGGAAGCATTTGGAAGTGGGCAATGTTCAGAGTGGTCAGGGCAATAGTATTAAGGATACGCATGAAAATTGGCGAGAGCAATAAAAGTAAGAACATATTTGTTTTATTTTTATTATTTTATGGAAACTCTTCGTCGGCTTACAGCTGAAAAAAATTTAAACGATGAGGTCCTCAAGATATATATACATACATTAGTTGCGTTCCAGATGCTTCACGATTTTCAGGTTTTACAGGATTTGAAGGAACATCTTTTTTCTCCATTAATAAATCTTATGGAAGGTAAAAGGTGTAAAAACCTGCAATCGTGAAGCATCTGGAATGCAACTATTGTGATACATACATATGTATATAGAAAATTATGAAGCTCTTGCCGTAATTTAGAAATCAACACGCTTTTCATCGTTTATTTGTTTAATTCAAAAACCAATCTATTGGTAATACCAATACGATATCCTATACACTATTTATAAACTGTTTGAAGTAGCGGCCTTCGTCGTAACTCCAGCGGTTTATAAGCATGTTGATATACACTAGCCAAACGCCAATGCTCTGGGTAGCCGCCCTCTCCAGCACCACCGCCGAAACTACGAAACGGTGGCACCAACGTATCAATGTCATAATTTCGCTTGGCATAGGGATCACGCTGGCGCGGCACCACCAAAACTCGACTCGCATTATGACTCTCCAAGCTGCAGCCACTATCCGTGGTAATAAAATGACCGGCTGCATCATATTTCGGTATGCCTACTCGAAATGGTGGCGCTTTGCAGCCGACGCGCGGAGGCGCTGCGTGATAACAGTGTGGTGGCTCAGGTGCCACTTTGTGACAGAGTCTTGATCGCGCACGCCTTAAAAACCCTGCCGCACCATTATTGTGCTTCGAACGTCTACAGCCATGCTCGGGTAAGAGCGCTTCACACGAACCTGCAATACCGCCGCCGCTGCCGCCAAGATATTTTTGACGCAGCGCGCGGTATCCCTCGTCGGCCAGTATATTTGGCGATGATTGATATTGCTTACACAGCCGATTTGTGGGCATTGCGCAATCGCGCGTCATGCTGCGCGCTCGTGGTGCACGTGCAACGTAGTCGTCTGTGCTACAAAGGCAGTCGGCGTCGCGTTCAGTTATACGACCGCCAAAGTCTGACTTGCGTTGCATTATGTCCTTATCGAAGAAGCCCGTTTCGCCGAGCGTGTTATTGAAAACTCCCGCCGAGCGGCCAAGATCTGTGGTTGTTTCATCGCGTGGCGTTTTTACATAATTAAAAACGGCCGGCCCAGCCGTGTCGTCGGAGCCATCTATGTGTGGCGGCGGTTGTGGCTCATCCGCCGGATTGGGGGCTCTATAATCCCAGCCTATAGCCAGATCCATAGCAGTCATCGGCTTAAGCTGCGGCTGAGCGGAAGTAATTGCGCGCGATAAGTCACCGTTGTAAGCTTTGGGCACAACGCCGCAAGTGCGCGGTCGAAACACCTTCATTTTCGTGCAATGTGTAGGGCCAGCATTATGTGTCTTAATGCCCACGCCCGTAGCAAAGGGCGCAATATCGAGCGCTAGGCCAGGATGATCGCCAGTCATTTGACGTTTGCGGAACGCCATGTCCACCACGCAATCGGGCAGCGGTTGATGATCCAAGTTATCATGATGCATGCGCTTGGCCAATTCGAAATTGGCATACGCTGGAATGATTGGCGAAAGAGAGCGTTCATTCGGTTTGGCGGTGATTGACTTAAGCGGCATTTTTTGCTCAGTATTTTGTGCCGTAGCCGAATCTGGATTTTGATAGCCGAATTTTTTCTTAAAATATTCCAAACTTGGTCCAACGGAATCAGTTAAAGCAGCGGTTTGCGGCAATAACGATGTTTCCGGCTGCACTGGTGACATAAAGTCTTTTCGTGGTACAGTCAGCTCAGGCGGAATAGCGCGCGTTAGCAGAGGCGTGACAGTGGTGCTGACGGGTGAAGAGACACGCGTTAGAGGTAGCGGTATTTTACGCGTAAGCGTTACGTCCGGCTTTTCCGTCTGACAGAGATGGTCACCCAAATAGAGTTTGTCCAATGGCAGGTCGGGTTCAATATTGTTGTCGCGCTCGTACTTTTGTTGCAGCAGCTGATCCCGTGAAGGGTGTTGCGCTTCGTAGGGAGTAAAATCACCTGGTACGTACTCTAAATCGAAATACTTGGAAGAAATAAAGTAGGACAAATGATATTTATTTAGTCGGATTTTACAGTAAAGATTTACAAAATAGATACATGTACGAAAATAACTGAAATATTCTAAGGTGACTATGATATGGCTAAGTTTTCGCAATCATCGTCGGTCTTCTTCTCGGAACTCTTCTTCGTAGGCATCTTTTGGTGACCGAAGAATAATGAATTAAGTGAAGAATGTTTGAAAACCAAAAAAAAAATGTTTAATAAAAAATTAAAACAATAAAAATAAACAAAATTATTCCATGCTCACCTTTTTCTCTTTACCTTTGGCGCACTTTCCAATGCCTTGCTCACCTGCACTGAAGATACGTCTGATGGTTTCGCATTTATCTTCACATTTCGGTGGCTCATCTTTTTTCTCACAAACAGGTTTCTTACGCGGGAAATTGCGCCATTTGTGTTTTCTAATTAGACACTCGTTGTACTCGTCGGCAAATTTGCGCGTTATTTTACGAGGTAGCTCAAAGGTGCTGCGGAAGTAGCCCCAAGGATTTGTGTCCGAACTAAAAACAAATCAATAAATAGACATTAAAACACAAGTGCTGAAAAAAAATTTTACTGTTGGCCAAAGAGAGTTTTTAACGAGAGTCTGTCTGTATAGAATTTTTGGAAAGCTTAAAAAAATTGGAATGAGACCAGATGGTCAACTTTAGTTTAGATTCTGCCCGAAGAAAAATTTAGTCATTCCATAGTGGGGGCCTAGAACTCACTGTCTTGGAGCAACGGGAGCAAACTACCTCACCGATGTACTAACAGTCACACATTGGCATCCATTGCACGCACACTACAAAAATGCTCTGCCGAGACTGCCCACCTCTGCTATATACCTATAGGTTGATCTTTATCTATGTGTACATGTGTCTTGAAGTTCGGAATTACACGCTTATATAGGCTTAGGTTCAGCTCCGATCTAATTAGGTAAAACCTGCTTAAGCCATTCCGAGGTGAAACGAATTTTTAGAAACAACAAGCCCAGAGATATCAAAGTGGCCTTCTGCAGCTTATATATTAGGATGACATTTAAAAATATCAAAATCTAAATTTGGAATTAGGCACTTCTTTATTCTGTTCTACGTACAAAATAAATACATCCAAAAAAATTTTAAAATAGTTTTTAGGAGTCGCTACCAGGGTTTGAAAAAATTTATTTTTTTCTTCAAATCGCGAAAATTCGACAAAATTTTACCAGTTATAACTCAGCTAGTTTTGGTTCGTTCTTGCTTCTCTCCTGCTCCCATTTTTTTTTATTTATATTGAGCTTAAGACGTTATTCTTGAAAATTTTTGTGAAAATACAAAAATAAAAATAAAAAATATTTCAAAATATGTAAATATGTTACTAGGCCAGAAAATAACAAACACATAATATTAAAAATTTTTCTTTAAGGAGCTAAGGAGCAAATGAATTTTTTTTAGCGCTTTGCCTCAGCTCCGCTCCAGATAAAATTCTTTGACCCTTAGCTCCTTGCTCCTTGGCACCGCTCCGCTCCGAAGCACTGCTTTCCTCCGAAGTACCGATTGCTATTGATCGGACTTAATTGTTTAGTCATGAATGAAATCATATCCTGGGAAACACAAAAATATAATTTCTCAAAAGTCTGTCCAAAGAAAAAAATTAAAAAAGCGTTTGAGCACGAAAAGTTCATACTAACTTCCCCTTCGGGGTATTTTTTCAAGATAACTACATTTTCGTAAATCAGTGTTATAGAACTTAGAAAAATTGGAAAAAAAAATACTGCACCTATTCTGAAAAAACTTAGACAAATTAGATTCTTTAGAGCTTAGTATTGCATGATAAATCAATTTGGCTATGCCAATGAATTTATATGAAGTTTTCAAGTTATCAGATTTAAATTTTTTTCAAACCCTGGTGGCGACCCGTAATAAAATTAGTTTAACATTTTAAAATTTTTGTGAATATCTTTATTTTGCACTTATGTATAACAAAATAAGCGGAGGCCCAATAAAAAATCGATATGTTGATATTTTAAGGACCACCCTATTATATGTGCATACGCACATATATGCATGCTTTCTGATTTACGGACAAATTTGCGGCATTCATAAAGCGGCTTTTCAAACAAATTTAGTTTTAATGAGTTCCTGTTTTCGTTTAATAAATATTATTATTTTTTTCCTTTTTATGTTAAATTTCTTTAAGGCATCCCTGTATTTTATAATCTAAATACTCACCGCACAATATCCTGCAATAGATGCCCGCTTTTGTTGGCGATTACCTTCGTAGGTCCCTTATGTGTACGCGGACGCGGTGGATACCACTTTGGCAGCTCCCAATTGCATAGACGTTTTGCGCTGTAAGCTTTCTCGAACTAGCATAAAAAAATAAAAAATAATAAATATCAGTTTGCGTTACTAAACATTGCAGGTCATTCATTTTTAGCGACATATTGTTGCAAGTCCAACACAACCTGTTTCTATATAGTTGATGTCACATCCATTTTTTCCTAAGTCTAATATTAAGTCGTTAATTTATAACTTTTTAAGCCTTTAAGTGCCAAGGCATACAATTGAACAAGACAAAATCATGTAGGTACATACATATGTATGTATGTATGTATATTTATGTATGTACGCAAATAAATGGGCGTTTTGTTGCAGTGGTGAAAACACTAGCGGGCAACCCCTAGCGCTAAAAAAACTTTAATAAATAAAAAAATGCGGATTGCATATGCTTCATAAACACCCTAGCGTCAGTACTCGTAGTACTTGCAACATCGGCTGAGAATTGAACGCTACTTACATATAGTATGTACATACATATGTATGTACATTAGACTGCATCACCAAAAAAAGGTGCGGTTTTTCCTCCGGGATTACAAAATTTATTATATATTACCACCAAAATATTTCGGAAAAATATTAA